ATTCTTACTGTCATTTGATTGATGAGGTTGTAGTAGAGTTTAATCTATTTTGTCCCATTTCTTTTCTACAGAAACAGTCAAATTACTGCCCCGTAAAATTTCCATTTCTTCTAAAGTAAAAATTCTGCAATGTTGAACATCGATGGAGGTGTATATGTATATCTGACCCTGACCAATACTAGTAAAAAAAACCCAAATCAAAAATTGTAATACCTTAATAAAAAAGAAGAAGAAGAAAAGTCAAAAGGTCAGGCAGGGGTACTAATCCATTTCATATTTAATCCAAACAAATGCTATACCAATCTATTTGCTTACCAATTCATTTCCACACACAGAGAAGCCGAGATACAGAGAGAAAGGAAAGAAGAAAGAAGAAAAAATTGAAAAGTTCGCCAACATTGTTAGAAAATAAGTGATTTCTACTATTAAGCTTGAATTTTTCAATTTTAAATGTAAGTAAAGAGTTACTTATTGAATAGTTATGTTTAATTTTAGAGTTGTTAGATTATTAGTTTAAATTCAATTTTATTGAAAGGGAACTATTGAATTAAATTAGAAAACTAAGTTAAAAGAAAAAGAAAAAAAAGAATCTTAAGTGATTAAAGGAATTGAGAAAATTGTTTAATTTATAAAAAGATTAGGATATCGCCTATTTAATTATTGAAGTTTCTTAAGATAATTAATTGTTAATCTAAAAATTATATTATATTTCAGACGACGGTACAGAGATTGGGACAACCTACCAACTGAGTTGGTTTTGCATACACAGTTTTATGAGTGGAAAAAATTTAAATATTTTCAAATGTTGATAAATTAAGTATATTATTATATTATGTGTAATTATATGAATTATTTGATTAATTATATGATTATTATGAAAATTTCTTTCAATATGATAAATGAGGAACTTCCAAGATTGGATATGGAATATTTTTTAATTGAAATGTGAGACATATGTTTTATTGACCACTATTAGGGTACCGACGCATGCCATTGTGTTGGCCACAAGGTGAAACTTCTCGAGTGATCGCAGGGGTAGTTAGGGGATGTCCTTTCGGTGATTACGGGAGGAATGACCACTTGCTTGTGCCGTTATGATATGATGATTAGTGGCATCTCGAGTGGAAACTTCTTGAGGGATCATGGGGGCTGTCAGGGGATGTAACTCTAGTGATCATAGGAGGATGGTCCACTCGACTGTGATATTGTGATTATTGGCATCTTGGATGTGATACTTATTCGATGATCATTGGGCTGTTAGGGGATGTA